AATATTACCAAAAATACATTTTGAATAAAAAAAAAATATTACCAGCAATATATTTTTGAAGGAAAATATTGCCAGCAATAAAAATTGTCGGCATTAAATAACCCATAGTGGTTGATATGCCGTAAACCAAATCAAACCAATAAAAAGGAATAATAATATAAAAGAGAACAGGACACAAATAACCAGTGGCCGAAAAGGAAAGAAACTAGGAAGATAGTGGAAGGACGTAGAATATGGTGGCCCAAGTGGGTCATAATTAAGGAAACGCCATGTTTTCATCAAGAGTGTGTTAACGTAAAGTTACAATTCGTGATTTGAGATGATCGGCAGCTTCAAAAGATATCAAGCCTTAGTATTGATTCAACCACGCTACAATGGTCCAAAAAGGGTCACAAGAATCTTTAAAAGGCCCTTAAAAATATAATTAATTAGATAAAGAAATCTCTAACTTAATAAAATATAATTATTTTTAAAAGAGTAAATAACAAATAAAAATGCAATAAAAATAAAATGCAATAAAAATTCACTCAATGTATGAAAGAACGAAGCGGTGTTAAATCGATGTGAAAAGCAGTTAAGATGGAGGCTGGCTTTATTTATTCGTTATAAAAATTAAATGACAGCATTGTAGTTCTGGGTGGGCCCACTTTGTCTCCTGGCAACTAATCTTTTTAAACCCAGTAATATATCTTTACATTTAGTCATATATAGATATGTATATTTACTAGAAGAATTTCACGGTTTTTCGATTAATGATTAAATAATTCTACGACAATAAAATATCCGTATAAATTCCCCCCTATTGAACCATTAAATATTTGAGCTTAACAACAAAAATTTTGCAATAACAATCATAAATATTCATGCTGGGCGTTAGTTTAAGAAGTAAGGGGATACAAATGAATAGATTCGAAATTGACAATTTTTTATTTGACTGAAACAGACGTTAAATACTTCTATCACCCCTTCCTCCTTTATTTTTTATCACTGAAACCAAGTAACGTATCTGATATATCTCTTCCGTCTTTCCACGCGATCAAAACGGAATAGTTCATTATATATGAGTTATTGTAAGGAGACGTTAAAATCTTGTTTTCCCTTCTTTCTTTTTTTCTTTCTTTCTTTCTTTTTTCTTACTTTCTTTCTTTCTTTCTTTCATTGAAACCAAGTAGTGTCTTTTCTCTTTTTTCCACGCGACTAAAACGGAATAGTCCATTATTAAACACCTTCTTTCTTTCTTTCTTTCTTTCTTTCTTTCTTTCTTTCTTTACTTCTTTCCTTCTTTTTTCTTTCTTTCTTTCTTTTTCTTTCTTTCTTTTTTTCTTTCTTTCTTTCTTTCTTTCTTTCTTTCTTCTTTCTTTCTTTTTCTCACTGAAACCAAGTAGTGTCTTTTCTCTTTTTTCCACGCGACTAAAACGGAATAGTCCATTATTAAACACCTTCTTTCTTTCTTTCTTTCTTTCTTTCTTTCTTTCTTTCTTTCTTTCTTTCTTTTTTCTTTCTTTCTTTCTTTCTTTCTTTTTTCTTTCTTTCTTTCTTTACTTCTTTCTTTCTTTTTTCTTTCTTTTTTTCATTCTTTTTCTCGCTAGAACCAGGTAGCGTTTCTGTTATGTCTTTTCCGTCTTTCCAGGAAATCAAAACTGAATAGTCCATTATTCCGGAAGTATTAGCAAGGTCCAACGGTGGTGCTAACTAAAGAAGGGACAAGCAGAATTATAAGAAGATAATCATATTCTGTTGTTTTACTAGTTAAAATAATCTGTTCTCCTTCTGTTATTTTGATACACTTTCTGGCTGTCAGTTTTTTCCTCTTCATCAGATGAATGTCGTCTGTGAAAACCTTTGATAGTTGAACCGACCCACTAATGAACCTCCTTCTCCCTACTTATCTCTTTATATGGAGTCCGTTAATATCAACTCTGAAGTATCTGTTCTTGTTTGCCATTTGTCTAGTTCTTTACTCCAAGGTTTTTTCGATCTCTTATCCTAATAAGTAAAACCAATGTTTTGTGGGCCACCAGGAAACTCTCTTCGCCACCGTTGGACGGAGAATAATAACGTGGTTTGGACACGTTACAAGATACGACAGCCTGTGCAAAAACATCATGGAAGTTAGCGTTGAAGGTGGACGTAGGAGAGGGCGCCAACGCAAAAACTGGTTGGACAATATCAAACAATGGACAAGTATGACGATACCAGAATTGCTGATGGCTGCCGTTGATAGACCGTTGTGGAGGAGATTCAATATGGCTTCCCCACTACGACTACAAAATTCAAGGGGGTGATGATGATGATAATGATGAGAAAGCATTCACATTATTTTGACTGTATTTTTTCTGTTACTATTTCGAGGCATAATTTTCAGTTTTAATTTTTTTTTTCTTCTGTTTTGTTGTCCTCGGCATATCTATTTTGTTTCAATGGCTTCTTCGCAATAATAGTTGTATTAGTGGCAGACACTAGAAGTCTTAGACACGGGAGGAAAGGAAAGCGAAAAGAAAGTACTAACCATAAATTGGAATTTATTTGCCAGAACAACTATTTTTACAACGTTATGTTATTATATGTTCATTCCTCTTTTTAAGATTTGTGGCGCCCTTCGTGGCGAAATTGTGACACGTTTTGTGACGACGTCCTCCGATCGTCCGTCGTTCACTTGCACCCGTTATGACATCCAAGCTTGAGTGTATTTTCACACCCAACTCACTATGTACACAGGTTTGTCTTCTCGGCCGTGATCGCTTTTAACAAATAATAATACTAGTGACGACAAATGTTTTTTTTAAAGACACTGGTTGGGAGTTCACAGCAATACGATTTCTCACTTAGCCGGCTATCTTTTTTCTTCGGCTGAACTGCTATCACGTGCCCTAACTTCACTGGCCTCGAGGCTCGGCGACTCCTGATTCCTCACTACCGATCTTTCTGTCACTGTTGCTGGGCAGCTCCAATTCCTTTGGTCTTCTACCTACTTCTCTCATGGCTGGACCTACTTTTCTCGATTCCCTGCTTCTCTCTGCTAATATGATTAATCATGGGGTTCCCCCCACCTCCATCCACTTGTCTTTCCAAAAGATTTGGGACCACACCAAAGCTACATGGGTGGTCAAATATTTAACGGGATATCTAAAATCATTTATAAAATTTGTATATTTCCCAATTCAAGGGCTAACTAGAGACATGAATCCTGAAAAACTAACCCCTAAGTTCACTCAATTTGGACTGGAGACAAAATTCCTACGAAAATCCAATAGCTGAGTGGACTTAGAAAGAAGGAATTTGTCTCCTTATCTTCTAAAGATATGTGAGATATCATATTGTTACAGTCCCCCTACTACAGAACAATCAATAAAACAAATAAAAAAATTAAAATAAACAAAACAAAGCAACATTTTCTGTTTAGGACAAAACATGGAATTCTACATAGTCCCACAAAAAATGCGGATGGACCCCAACCACCTCTGAGGGTAGTTCAGCCCAAAGAGAGGTAAATTCTGTGCAGGTCCCATCCTTCTGAAATATTATAATATCACAGAGGGCGGTTGGAATTCATCTCTTCTGTTCAAGCCATTACAAGAGGATTTCAAACTCCTCTCGAAAAATGTCACATTACAGAGAGTGTCACTCACCGGACCTTTCAAATAGAAAAACAATACCAAAAAAAAAAACAAGAGGATTTTAACCATCTCTTCAAATAACTCAGATCACAGGAAAGGTCATTTCTGTTGACCTTCCTTCCAAAATACATGAGGACTTTAACAATCTCTCCAATTCTTTCCCATTTCATAATGCACCACCCCCAGAGAAAATGATATTTTAGCATAACGCAGAAGTGAAAACTAGTTTTATCCCGTCAAGACAAAAAACAAGAGTAGGCGGGGAATGTCCTCACATGGCCTTCGTCCTAAAAATAAGATACTCAAGTCCCACATCTCACTGCACAAGGATTACATCTCTTGCTTTTTTTAACACAAAAAATCACCTAAAACAAAAATAAAACAAGTCGCAACAATTTGCAACAGAACACATACCAGTTCGCCTTTGAACTGGAAAAATAATTTTATAAATGATTTTTAAATAGTCATAAAAAGTAGTACTCGAAGAATTGTGGTTTAGGGTGGTCCCAAATCTTCAAAGGTCTACTTTTATGACTATCTAAAATCATTTATAAAATTTTTATATTTCCCAATTCAAAGGCGAACTGGAGATATGAATCCTGAAACATTAACCCCTAAGTTCGTTCAAGATGGACTGGAAACAAAATCCCTACGAAACTCCAATAGCTGAATGTTCTTAGAAGGAAGAGATTTGTCTCCTTATCTTCTAAAAACATGTGAGACATCATATTGTGACAGATTTAATATTTCATAACTTTCTTAAACAGTTTTTTCTAGTATTTTACACTTCAATATTTTGATGTTTTTCTTACTCTTTTAGTACTTTGTTATTTATTAACAAATAAATCAGTGGTTAAAAATCACTTCAGACGCGTTAATCCTAAATATCTTAAAGGAGAGCATCCTTCATCAGGCCATCTGGACTGGCGCCAGAAGGCCACAAAGAACTTTACCGAATAACAAATACCACATCACTTGAACATTTCGAACAGACATAACAGCAACAATATGTAACAAATATATAACAATATGTAATAAATATGTAACAATATGTAACAAATATGTAACAATATGTAACAAATGTAACTAGAAGAGAAAATAATGATATAATCAAGCTATTTAATTTCCATAGTACCAAAAACAAAAGGTTTAGAAGGAAACTTCCGTCAATACTAGATTGATTGTTTTAGGTCTTATCAACATTTCTCAGGTAATTTAAAGCTAGAAAATATTTTAGATTATAAGATTTTTTTAGGGAATAATAATGATTTACTGATACAACTCTTACTGATTAATCCATAGCTGGGAGGGGAACCTGAGTGAAAATTGGTACTCGGCTCTCCGGTTTCAAATTCCTAGTTGTTATCCATCCGCACATTCAAGCTTACAACACCTGGTATTCCCAAGCGGTTCACTTATCTCGGTACTGACTAGGTTCGATATTGCTTAACTTCAATAATCGTACAAGAACTGGTGCTGCAACGTGATATGGCCGTAAGCCTCCATAAATACTAGAAAAAAAAATGAAACAATGGATTGTAAATCCTATTTTCCCGAAAAACAGTTTCAGAAAAAGATTTTATAAATTTCTACCGACATTAACTGTTGAGGCTTACGGCCATATTACGTTGAAACACCGGTTTCCTTGCAATCACCAAAGTTAGACAACGTTGAGCCTGGTCATTACTTAGATGGGTGACTGCTTAGGAATAACAGGTTCTGTACGTTTTAGATGTGAGGCTGGTGTAATGTCTAATGGCTCGGAATTGTTAATCGATGAGCCGAGTTCCAATTCCAGTTGGGTTCGTTATATTCACTTATGAGCAAATAAAGTATGAACCTACCTCTTCTCCCCCAGCTAGAGGTTAATTAGTAAGACTTGTGTCACTAAACAATTATTATTTCCCAAAATTGCGCAGAATATATTGAAAATTCGTCATAAAGTAACCTTCAAATCGTTGATATGCCGCTAAACAAAACCAACCAAATGCTTGATCAATGAATGCTAAAACGCTTACTTTGGCATTTATCATTATTGTTTGAACGTTTAATCTTTAATATGAAAGTGTTTAATGAACTCTTATGTGAGACCCAGCACAATAACAAAAAATGAGATGGTTGATGTCTCCAACTCATTCTCGACAATGCGATTTCTGCCATGTTACAGAAAAACTGTTCAAATAAAATCATTGCTTATCCTTTCTTTTCACATTCAATCTGTTTCATTGCTAATTGAATGTTAAAAATTATTGAATGATAAAAATTATTTAATGCTGCAACAGTGGATGTTCCGATTTGGCCAATCACAACAATTTCGTGTTTTATAAATTCGAACAAAAGAGCTACGAATTTGTATAACCATATTTCTACAGTGTGGCCATTAAAAGACTGAATGATATAAAACAAAAATAAATTTTACAAACACATGAGTATCTTGGGTTAGTAAAGTTTGAACCATTTGAATCTTGTATGGAAACATTTTGAAATCCAGAATTCAGAATCTTCGAATGCGATGTTCTAGTGATTTCTAGTTGATCAGAGCGACGAAAGATAAAGTCTGATGGATCCTCAAAGACACTCTTTCGTATAGCTCTGGGCGCTTAGGACCATTTCCCGGAATATCCCCGACGGATCCAGTTCTTTCAAATCGAACAATTAGGTTCCGAATCATGCTATCATTAGGAGATACTCTGACAGTAAATTTTGCCGATATTTTCTCTGAGTTTGAATAATTGATCTTTCACTGGAATAGAAAAACTGAATGGGTTTTACTTGCTGTAGCCATTTTAATCTCGAAGGGATGCTCTATAACCTGCAAAAAAAAAGAAAAAAATGATTGAAAACGAACAAATGATTACTTTTTGAAATATTTCATTTTTTTCTGTGATCACCCCATAGAATAGCAACCAAGAACAGAGGAATTCTTTACCTGTTTATTCCATAAGGTATTATTTAGAGGTATTATCTTAACTTGGGCTTTAAAGCCATAGAAGTTATCTGCAGAATTCAGAAAATAGAAGGAAAACACTACTTAACCTTATTACCCAAAAGTGGTTTAATTTTTTTAATGGTGTTGGGATTCCATTAAGAAAAGATACAGAAAGTTATTATAATCAGTTGTCGCCTCAGTTAGTTGTGCCATACGTGATAGATACTTTAGCGATCATGTCTCTTTCGATTTGGGCACCTCGATGTGACGTAGTGGTTAACAAGCTTGTCTCGCTAGAACAATTACGGTTGAATAGTGAGTTTGATCCTCACTGAATGTCCCACATTTTCGGCTTTGTGCCATATATAATCTACACTTAAAAAAAAAGTCTCTTTCGATTCCTGACTAATTGATTTTCCGCAGCAAGTTGCTAATTCTTTCCACGGAAGACTGATTGCCGATCAAGGATATAGGACCCGGTCTTCCCTACTATTCAACCCATAGCTTGTGGAAAAGAAATGGATTCATACCTTTCCCAGGGGTACTTGTACGTAAGTAAATTCCAACTGGAATTCCAACTCGGCTCCCTGATCTCTCGTTCCAAACCGAGACACCACAACGCACATCCTTGTTGTCGCTTATGATAGTTCACCAATAAAGAGTACAAGAGTACTCAAAAACTTTCAGAAGAGCTAATATAATCGGAAGTCACTATACGTAGAGATTTGTATAAACTAAAATACAAAGTACAACAGTAACAGCAGTTCATGCCTTTTAATATTGTTTAATCACGAATTACTAGCATGTATCAGGGCCCAAATTAATTTCTGGACCTTGATGTCGCGGACGGGTGCGTTGATGTTACTCACTCAGGAACTGGACTGAAATGAATGATATTTAGGATTCTTTAAGTCGTGGCTTATATAGTAATTATCTATCTGCCTCCAAACGAGGGCAAATATGACAGAAAGCCGGTTTAATGTGACTACTCATTTCTCCCTGACCAAACATGCACATGGACAAGTGTATAAACAGAAAAATTACTTATTAAGTCTTATTAAGGTTTTCTCTTTTAAGATCCATCAAGCATAAGGGGCTGAACTTACCATCCCCTTTAAGTGAAATATATCTCTTCTATAGAAAATATATTCGTATAATCAATAATACCAACGAACTGGACCCATAGAAATTTTCGTGTTGAAAGACACAATATTGAAACATTAGTTCGAAAGATTCTCAAAGCAAAAATATATTTGTTTTTACGGTTTATCAGCCTTTTGGGGATTATTTAAAGACAGAAAATATTTTTAGAATTTAAGAATGATTTTTGTAAATAATAATGATTTACTGTTACAAGGTCTATTAATTAAGCCATAAGATAAGGTAGATAAAGTGGACTCAGAATTTTCCCAAAGGTAATTGCGCGTAAGTAAACATAACATACCGGAGGGGAATTGGAATTCGGTTTTCTAATTTCCAATTCCGATTCTTTATCTAATGCACCAGCCGAACATTCAAGCTTAGAGCACCTGATATTCCTAAGCACACATCTGGGTAATGCACAGTTTCGATGCTTCTTAACTTCGATGATCGGAGAACTCGTGTTTCAACGTGTCATGGCCGTAGGAATCGAAGCAAGAAGAAAGATATCCTGAATTCATAAGAATAAAAAAAAAGTAAGTACAATTCATACCAAAAATACTAATTTTATAATTCTGCCAACTTACTAATTGAACTTGAATTTTTTTAACTATCCCAAGCACTAAAATTGTGATCACAAATTCTAAGGCAATCAAAGATGTGGCCAGCAAAAATCATAGAATTAATAACGCATCGGAAACTGAGATATATAAGATATATAAGATATATATATATATATATATATATATATATATATATATATATATATATATATATATATATATATATATATATATATACCTACGTGTGATGTGCAACTCATGTTTCGCTGATTACAAAAGTTATCAGGAATAACCATGTTTTCTGTATTCTTATTTTATTATTGTTTGGAATTCAGATGTTCAGATTTTCAATATAAAATTCCTGGACAAAAGAATCACTGTTTCTGTGTCTTTCTTTAATGGACTGTTTTTGAACCCCTCCCTAACCCTAGTATCTCTAACCCTAATTCTAATTACAGCATGACGAGTGGAAATATTGGATCTTAGTGCTGTTATGGATCAATAATAGTTGGATTTAGTGAAAAATAACTTTTTAATGAAAATTAATTTTTATGCTTCCTGCCATGAAAATTATTTCCAATAATAATTGCAGTTCAAAAAACTCGCACAAGTAGATTTACATATACCAAGCATATCACTTGCACAACTAAGTTTCTGTAATTTTATTACTGGCTATGGGATAATAAGCAATAGAAATATGCTGGGAATTTTTGCACATATCTAGTGATTCAAACACCTAAAGCATTGGTCTGCAAAATTGCTAAGCATTTTACTCTAAAAAGCAAAATTTTCTATACTGCTTAAATTATTGTGGATTATTCTCGCCAAAATTGATCCCTCAGATCTACAAATCAACAAATCACCCTTGCATGGAGTATTGCTTACATATATGGTCTGGAGCCCCTTCTGTTTGCCTCAGGGTTCTTGATAAGATCCAGAGGCGGATATACAATATAATTGGCCGTGTTCTGGTATCTCGTCTACAGTCACTCTCTCACAGACGCGCCATCGCCTCTCTCTGTCTTTTTTACAAATACTTTCATGGTAATTGCTCCGATGAGCTGCTTTCACTGGTTCCCAGACTTCATGAATTCAATCGCCCTACGAGGCTGCCATCCCGCTCTCACCCTTTCACTGTAGAAACTTTTAAATATAGCCGTCTCTTCTAATCAAATAGCTTCATACCTCACACCTCTCGCCTGTGGAACACCCTTCCCTATTACTGTTTCCCTGAGAATTATAATCTCTAACTATTCAAACGTAATGTCAATCGACATCTCCAGTTACCTTGATCTATCCACTATCCCTCTCCTCATCCTTTCTTCTATCCCTCCTATCTCCCCTCGCTCCAAATCTTCTGCAACCCCCTGCATCTTCGTGACTTCCCGCCTTGCTCGATGCGTAATGCTTAAAAAACTTTTATGAGTGACTACTTCACTTAGTCGTTTTAATAATCTACATAAATATAATGTTTATCTACCATTATACAAAATTAGTCCATTGATAAAATGAACCGTTCCTTTACTCCTGTATTTCTTAGATTGCAGTTTCATTTGTTCAAGCTTTTCATGTGAGGCACTCAGTTACTTTTGTCTATTAAATGATCGTCTTCAACTTTGTCTTGAAGTAGGCTTTGTCGTTACCGTCTTTGTCGTTCTGTTGTTAATCGTTTTCTTCCGAGAGATATTTCTATTTTCTTTGTTATATTAAACATATAGAATTTTTAATATGAAAAGATGTTGGTCAGAAAGTGATTTATAAAATAGCAGGAATAATCAATGACCCATCGATAACATTGAACTTCTTTAAAATATAAAGGGAACCGATTAAATCAATGCTTAATTGGCCTCTATTTTAATTGTAAATTCTTTACCCTCCGGCTTACGGCCACATTACATTAAACTACCTGTTTGCGTACGATCACCGAAGTTAAGCAACGTCGAGTCTGGTCGGTGACTGGATGACCGCTTGAGAATACCAGGTTCTGTAAGCCTGGATATGCGGTTGGTGTAATGGATAACGGCTCAGAATTGTTAATCGCAGAGCCGAGTTCTAATTCCAGTGGTTCATCGTTGCATTTACAGACGCGCAAAAACACTTGGGAAAGGTATGAATGCAACTATTCTCGCCCCCAACTATGGGTTAATTAGTAAGACTATCACTAAAAATATTATTATCAATAAAAAATAAATGAAATAAAAATTACGTAATACTATTTAGATTTGAGCATTTAATAACCCATAGAGATGTGCCGCTAAATTAAAACAACCAACATTTTTTATCTCTGATTTATTGAATCGTGATACATTAGTCGAGTAATGGATAGCGGCTCGGATTGAGGAATCGGAGAGCCGAGTTCGAATTTCGGTTGAATCCATTACAATCACTTACGTGCTAATACCCGTGGGAAAGGTATGAATCCTCTTCTTCTCACCTCCAGCTATGGGTAAATAGAAAATGGCAACCTACTGCGGGAAAAATCTGCCTCGTTAGTCACGTATCGAAAGGAAAGATTCATGATTGCTTAAACGTGTATCACGCATGGCACATAACTGACTGAATACATTGTTTCAAGGCTTTTGTTTCATTGCATCTCGCTAGTAAAACTTTCTAACAATAGCCGCCATTTTTTGACGGCACGGGTACACTAGTAATAAATAACCATCAAGCAGTAAAAAACTCATCAGACGCATTATTTTTCATTTTCTTAATATTCGGAAAACCTATACTTAAAGAATGTAGGATCCTAGCATTTGCAGACGGCTTTAATAGACGTTATAGCTATCGCTGAATTAAAATACACTAATATACCTAATTTCTCATGCACACTGAAATTACGCTATTTTACGAATTAAACCCACGCACAGATGCCACGAGGTAAACACGTGACACCCACAAATATAATAATGTCATAAAATGATAATTGTAAATATCTTGTTCGTGTAACCAATGAAAACAAAACGGCTTAGAATTAAAAAAAAAATCGAAATAACCCTGCATTATTCCACTTAGCAAAACTTCTGATGAAGTGAAATTAAATAGAAAAATATGTTTAATTTGCAAACATTTTCTTTCTTATCTGTCTATATCTCTGAGATGAGGCATTATGATTATTTACATTATTTACATTATTCGGACTGTTATCCTCATTTTCATTGCCATATTCACGTTTCGGTCGTTGGAGAGTTGAGTTAAAGGGAAATAACTGAGAAATCCGGAAGAATCATTGCACGTTTTCCCGTACAATGCCTCTTCCGGATGAACAATCTACCCCGGTGAACAAAATAAAGGGTTCAGTTCGAAATTCCTGTCACTTGAAATAGGCCGAAGTGTACAACGGCTGAAAAGTTGTGAATACAGTGTAACCTGGATATAAGAGACCCGGATATAAGAGAAACCCAGATATGAGAGATTTTCTCTGGTCCCAAATTAGAGCCTGTGTTAATGTATATAAATTAGACCCGGATATAAGAGAAACCCGGATATAAGAGAGATTTTCTCTGGTCCCGTCCTCCCCGATATAAGAGAGTTCGTTTTGAGTGACAGTGTGATGTCGTAAATCGGTCAAACAGAGGTCAGTTAGAGAGAGAGAGTGAAGTTCAATGACTTAATCTTGACTAGTCTAGAGACACGGTGTGACCAATCTGTGTCTGTAGGAGACACCCTCTACCTTATGATTTTGCTTTGTGTGTCTAAGGATAACGCCGCCCGCTTTTTTGCCGACTTTGCTTGTCGTTGCATTTACTGGACAGCACTTTCACTTTACCCACTGTTCTGTTGAGTCAGAAGTTTGTCTGTTTGGTTATTTTGCCACTGAAAACCGTTTGCTTGCGATCATTGCGATTAGTGATGTTGGCGTCTCAACGAAAAACGCTGAGCATTTCTGAACAGTTGGAGCTCATCGACGATGTCAAAGTGAAGAAACTCAAACTGGCCGCTGCAGCCCAAAAGTACGGAATCGGTTATTCAACAGCAGCAAAAATTCTCAAGAAAGAAGACGATCTCAAATCTTGCATGCAAATGAACGGAAACACTAATCGCAAACGAAAGCGCCAATCCGTGCACAAGGACGTTAACGAAGCGCTTACACAATGGTTTATTCAAGCATGTGCTCATGGAGCTACCGTCACCGATCACGTCATCAGGCAGAAAGCATCACAACTGGCCGTAAATCTTGAAGTTGATTTTGAACCGAGCAATGGCTGGCTCATGCGCTGGAAGCAGGCTAATAACGTTTCGTTCAAAATATTTCACGGCGAATCAACGTCAGCAGATCACGGTTCTGCCAACGAATGGGTGACAAACGTTTTGCCGCAACTTTTTCCTGGATATGATCCAAAAGATGTTTGGGACTGTGATGAAACGGGAATTTTCTACAAAGCCATGCCGTCTGGATCTTTGCGATTTGCCGACGACGAACAGTCAAATGGGACAAAAGTTCCCAAAGACAGACTCACGATGCTTCAGTTCACAAACATGGACGGCAGGGAAAAGCAAGCTGTAGTTGTTGGTAAGTCGGCAAAACCACGCTGCTTTAAAAATGTCAAAACACTGCCGTTTTCTTACTTCGCTAATCGTAAAGCCTGGATGACTAGTCAGCTGTTTACTGACGTTATGAAAACGCTTGATCGAAAAATGATTGCTCAAAATCGAAAGATTATTCTGTTTTTGGACAATGCAACTTGTCATAACTTACTGCCGGGTACAAATCTGTCAAACATCAAATTGTCGTTCATGTCACCAAACACTACCAGTCTCATTCAACCTTTGGATCAAGACATCATTCGTTCATTCAAAGCGTATTATCGTTGGGAACTTGTTAGAATGCAAATCGCAGCGATCGATGCTACACCGCCAGTGCCGCTGTCCGAGGTGGCCAAACAGATAACTGTTTTGAAGGCCATGCACATGATGAAGCGAGCACTTTTCATGGTCAAACCGTCAGCAATTCAAAATTGTTTTAAAAAGGCCGGCTTTATCATTGAATCACAGGCTGATGTGGAAGAAATACTCGACGAAAATGATCAAGTTTCTCCACCATCGGGCATGGAGCAAACAGATTTTGACGAATTTATCAGCTTCGACGACCGTACACAATGTTATGGAGAACTGACTGACACGGACATCACACGTGGTATAAAATCGGATGATCAAGATTTTGACGAAGATGATGATGCTGAAAGCGTAAGTTCTGAAGTTTCTGAAAGTGACAAACCAATGCCGAATTGTCTGGCTGCATTGAATGCGCTTGAAACTCTGACAGCCTACTTTGAAGCAAAAAAGCAGTAATCCTGATGGCGCATTGAAAATGATTTACGGACTGTATGATAGTGTTCATGATGTTAACAAAGAGATTTCTGTACAATCAAAATGACTGACTTTTTTAAGAAAAAGTAATTTTGATTGAATTATTTTGAAAACTGATTGAAAATGTATTTTTTTTTTGTCTGTGTTTTTATGTCTATAACTGTTAAATAAACTAGTGTTCTGTACGTAAAAAGCGTTATATGAAGTGTTCCCATACTTACCTAAACAAAATAGACCAAACCCGGATAGAAGAGAAACCCGGATATAAGAGACTTCTTCTCCGGTCCCGACAACTCTCTTATATCCGGGTTACACTGTATAGCAAGGAAAATGAGGATAACAGTCCGAATAATATAAATTTTCTTTCATGGTCTTCAGTTCCCCGCCAAATATTTTGGAAAAAATGTTTCATTTTCAGATGAATATATTTTTTTTAATATAGTAACTAAGAAACTGAGGCACCTTGAAGTACCCAAGCGGTGGCTGGCCCCTCTACAAGACGTAGGAGTTGACAATTGGACTCATTTCAAGCTCAGAAGGGCATAAAAAACATATGAAGATCGGCGTATGAACACGACTGTAGCTGTTTTTTGAGTGTTATGTTTTGGATGTGTTTATTCGTTCGTGTCAGTAAAAGACTCTTGGGTAAAAACCTATATACACGTCTACGCCGTGGAAGGTGTTCAATATTCAAATTACTAAGTGGTTTTATTGGAAAAAGATATTTGACAAAATATTTAAATTTCAAGATTAAAACATGATTAAAGCAGAAGGAGTGCTAAAAGTTTCGCGGCGAAAGCCTTCGAATATATATCTTCAATGTACACTTTTATATTTACATACACTCTACTCATGATATTGACCACTTTAGCCCATAAATATAGCATACTTTCAAATTATATATATATATATATATATATATATATATATATATGTATATATATATATATATATATATATATATATATATATATATATATATATATATATATATATATATAATTATTTATTTAAAAATATGATTCCAATTCTACATAAGAGTTCTCATGTCTCAAAACAAGAGCCGACAACTTCAATATAATTATTTGAATTAAATTGAAATAAGTTATTCAAAAAAAAAAATTCGCTTGAAGATGGAACAGAGCTTGGTACTTTAATTCAATTTAATTCAAATAATTATATTCAAGTTTTCGGCTCCTGTTTTGAAACATGAGAACTCTTATGTAGCGATGGAATCATATTTTTAAATAATTATATTTATGCTCTACTTTTGTATCGAGCACTATTTTTTAAAGATAATAACAAAAATACTAAAGAACTTTGGATTATTTACCTAACGAGTTCTTTCCTATTTTTACACACACACATATATATATATATATATATATATATATATATATATATATATATATATATGAAATTTTCGTTAAAAACGACTGACAAGTTTTTGTGATAAAGTGTTCTCTATAATTTTTCATGTTCTTATATTTTTTTTCCTTTTCAGGTCATAAATTGTATAAAAAAATGTTCAAATGTTTTATATATGCAAGTGCTTTCCGCTATACTTTTAGCCATTATCAAGGATGAATTTCATTTTAATTTAACTGAATATATGGATTGTTTTCTATTTGTAGATTATAGGAATGTTTAATTTTCCAAACACTGTCATCACTAATAAAAGTATAGCCGAAAGCGATTGGACTTGGACATATAAAACATTCGGACAATTTTTTTATAATTTATCTCCTGAAAAGAAAAAAAAATGTTATAAGGACACATGAGAAATTATACAAAAAACTTAATCACGGTACCTTGTCAGCCGTTTTTAACGAAATTTGCATAAAATCGGGATTGCTACCCAAATACACAATATATATATATATATATATATATATATATATATGTATGTATGGAGTATGTGGTGCAGTTCAATTTACATTGCATGAATCATTCATACAAAAAACAGATATAGAAGTTATTGATTTAAATGGCGAGAATACATCTTCGCAAAAATATTTTAATAAATTACATTAACCCCGAACCTGTAAATGAATGTTATGATCCCTGTTTATAAATTCCAGTTGCATAAGGTCTTTTTTAGTTTTTTACCAGCTTTCGTCTGTTCCTACAGACATCATCAGGTATGGAAACAGATTTGTTTTTGTTTTTTACTTCTCGGTAATAACAGGACAACGAAAATATAGATGTAATCCGAAAAATGATTTTAGAAATGTGTTATTGTTAATTGTAAGAAATTTTTTTGGAGCGTTTTTTTGGAGCCATTTTGTTTCAACACTTCTGGTTGTCTTGTTAAGTGATGGTGTTGAATGTAGAATCTAGAATTCTACATTCAACACCATCACTTGATAAGACACTAGAAGTGTTGAAACAAAATGGCTATTTATGTAGTGATTATATAACATGTTTATGTTATAATCTTCGAATAAATTACATTTGCTCTCTACACTGTATTGAGCACTCTTTTAAGAATAGTATTTTTGGTTATTGGAATTTATTCCGTATACAGCAATCCTATACTTGTGTATATATATATATATATATATATATATATATATATATATATATATATTAGCTTAAAAGCCGCCCTATCGATATTTAAGCTAGCTCCTCAAGGGAAGGGCTCTTGATACGGCCTTCATTACAATAGGTAGGAGGAGTAGACGCGATAAGCAACAATAAACTACAGAACTCAAAATTGATTGCTGCATTTAAGTATTGAATTAATATTTAAGCTTACCTCTTAAAAGTTAAACGATAATTCTTCTGTTGCCACTTAATTTAAAGACAATTTGATATACGTCGCTCCTTACTTTCTGTATAGACAATTATTTTTATTTCATGCGCGGCCTTTGCTGGATTTTGCAGTTAATTTAGAGTATTTCCAAATTTATTTTCAAGTTATAAAAATTGTTAGCGTTCAAAAAATTTCGTCGCAAAAAACTGCTGAAAACAATCGCAGAAATGAAAACTTGTGAATCCAAAATATCAGGTTTGCGGGTCTGGATCCAACCCAGAATGTTTTCAATTTGCTCACGGAGTTGGACTGATTTCAAAAAGGTATTTTATGTTGCGTTACGGCCTGTAGGAGTAAAGTTGAAAACACGGACAGTTATATTCTGAAACGCTGTAGTAATTTTTCGTTGGCAACAAAGAGTACAGAACTGCTACGTGATATGTCTCGTCCTTTATGACAGCGAATGTTGGACGGTCTCCTCCAAGATGAAGAAGAGACTCGAGGCGACGGAAGTATGGTTCTACAGAAGGATGCTAAGGATATCATGGACCGACCGTATGAGCAACGATGAGGTTTTGGAGAGGATGCAAACAAGGAGGAAGCTTATACTTAACATCAGGAAGAGTCAGCTGAAATTTATGAGACACGCAATAAGAAAGGACGGCTTGGAGAATCTGATACTCACAGGGCGGATAGAGGGAATGAAAGACAAGGGAAAGCAACGCATGACATACCTATTAAGTGGATGGCAGAACAGTGTCTGGGAGAAGTAGCAAACGAACTAAACATATTGAGAACAAAGGATAAGGCGAAGTAAAGAGCCATGATCGCCTACGTCCTGAGGCGACACGGCACATAAAAAAAGAATTTTTTTTCATTTGAACATGAGCTATTGAAAGTTAAAGAGTTGTGTCCCTTTAATTTTTTATCAGTAGAATTCAGCACAGCGGAATCCAAAAACAATAGCAGCAATGAAAACTTGGGAATCCAAAATTTCAGAATTGTGAGTGCGGATGCAGACCGGAATGTTATCAATTTGGCCACAGAGTCGGCCTGATTCCAAAATGGTATGATGTTTGGCTACGGCCTCTAGGAATAAAGTTGAAAAAAGTGTGACAGAAGATTGTTTGTCTTAATACTATACAAATAACTCACTCGCTACTTCAATTTCAACTTTTGGATCTTCAGG